TCAAAGACTTGAGGGCGCCAGTTAGGTCTCCATTGAAGTCGAAGTAAAAGTATGCGAGTGCTATCTGGGGATGATGCTGAACTTGAGTGATCAAATGCTCTATGATTGTAGAACTAACAAGTAGATGTGAGTATATTGTCCAAGAGTATTTCAAAGTGTTAGTTACCACAACACAGTCTTCCCACTACCAGCTAGGGTTGAATGATCAGTCAATGTCATCACTTAAGATTATTTGACTTACGAATACCATAAAGCCATAAAAATGTGCCGTTACCAAAAGACCATTCCTCGCATTGCTTGCTTGTTAAAAACCATGCTCCAGTCTTTGGTTGATGCTTCTTCAATGTCGCAGCATGAGTAAGATACGGATCTGGCGCGGCTAGCCATTGATAGATATCTCGATTCGTTTGATCTATGTGATATGTCAATTTCAATCCCCCAGACTTTAGGCGGCTTTGGCTCTGAGCCGCAGTCCATACTACAGTATAGAAACAACAGGACGTATTCCTACCTGCAAATTGGTTCTCAATCCTATTCGTAAGGTTCAAAGCCAAATTCCTACAGGATCATAAGCATCCCCAATTTCCCCTCAAACAATCCGATCAACTCACGTTTGATCAGCACTCAACCCCAACAGCAACGTACTCTTCAACCTCTCCAAAACACTCAACGTCTTCCTAACCTCGCCCTCCTTCAGTGGCCAAACTAGTACATTTTTCAATCCTCTCCAACCCTCTTTACCCACACCCCCTTTTTCCAATTTCTCCCTCAAATTTTCCAGCTCCAATTTACACATCGAAAGCGGTCCATCGTCTTTTAACATCAATTCGAACGTTGAAAGTTGTTTTCCATCGCCCTCAGACTTTTCTGCCAACTTAAGTAACGAATCTAATGAACCTTTTAAACTATTCAATTCATCTTGAATCTGGACGATTTCTTTCGAGGCATGTTTGGCGCCTTGGCGATAATCGTAGCAGAAGCATATTAAAGAGCCGGTGATCTGGAGAACGGCTATCAGACTTGCGGATATACTTAATGGGTCCATGTTGGGAGTGAGAGTGATTTATTTAAGGCTAGAATTTATGTATGAGGCAGAGTAAAGTTTATTAGCAAGAAATGAAATGTACACTTACTTACATATGGTATATGGAATAGAGACAGAATATGACTTATATGATAAGCCAAGATTATGCTGTGTTGTCAGCTTTGCTCATTGGGAGTATCAGGTGATACCGTGCCGTACTTAGCAAAAACCCCACAAAACCCCACTCGATAACCCCACTCGATCACCCACTCAGCCCACCCGCTCGTTCACCCCGCCAATATATCCTCCTCTCTCGCAACCCCAAACTCCCATCAACAAGCACAATAACCAGCGTTTGTGGTTCAAGGGTTTATTATTGTTGTAGATGGGTCTATATTATCTACCTATTAACGCTTGGATGGATCATCCAGACTATATCAAAATATGGGCGCCGTATCGAGCAGGCTCTCATCAGCCTAACGCCACCAAAACCTCTAAGGTTATCCCTTAATCAACCCCTTAATCAACAACCAACCACCCACAGCAACCCACAACCAACGACCATCAAAGTAACAACATTATAACTGTAGAATGGTGACCACGTTGAGAATACACAAGGTAGAGCCAGACTCCTTTCGCCACCGGATTCTGGCACGACCATCCTCTTATGTTCCACCCATACTATGGAAACCTGAAATACTGGACGATATCGATTGCGATGTCTTGCCAAACATCAGTAAAGACAAGAGCAACTATACCACCAATCCAACAACAAAAGATTCTCATGTCGGATACACGCCCACTCCACTCAGCATCCTGGCGAGGAATTGCCGCCGGGACGAAACTAGCAGACAGCTTTTCGGCTCTACGATACACTCCTATCGGTCGGTTCTCAAGTCTAGCGGGTATGTAGAATTTACCCATAGCTGGAGTTTTCCGAAAACTGATAACCTGCTCACAGCTACTCAACACCACATCTATATCTTGACGGCAAGTCCGTCGCACCAACTACTCCTCATTACCTCTATCGATCGACGACTACTTCGAGACCAATTCTCGCATATGTTGATAAGAATTGGTTATGGAGCAAACGAAACCATTTCAATTGTCGTCGACGTCTTAGTTCAGTAGCGCTGAAGATAGCGCATGGAATTTCCGAAAGCATGACCAAATTGGACTTTGATCCTTATATTGCCTGTCTTTTAATTTCAATGGCTCAAGACTCATGTTCCTTTACCTCGGATGATGAAATACCTGTATTGCGAAGTTCTTCCAATTTGAAATTTTTCACAATGCTGATTGACTCCTAGGTTCATGTATTCTCTCCTTCGACCGATAAGAAGTCCTTCACACAACATTCTTCGAATATCTCCCGTCAATATCTACAGAAGTGGGAAAAGTCGTACGAATTCTCCAGTTGTCGTCTCACTATTACACGAAAGACTCTGACTTTGAATCAACTGTACATATTCTTAGAGGAATTCCGCGAAAAAGAGAAATCTAATGCCTGTTCTTCGGAAGCTCTCGTATCCTCAAAAAAACGCAAGGTCAAGTCTGATATGACTGATGGCGCTGATAAGTCATCAACGGTCAAACGTGTACGTCATTGAGATTTGCCATCTTCCAAAGACCACTATACATATTCGTAGTAACTTGGGCAGATTAGAAAGCAAGCATTGGTTCGAGTCAGCCGGTGCATGAAAATTTTACGTGGTGGCATGGGGAAGCTAGCAGGAACGATGTGGTAAAGTTTCGCTCAAAAGCAAGCTCCGTAATGAGAAGAAAAGATATACTTTCAATGTTTTAATATAGAATGGCATTTTTTATTCGCGGTTAAAACCGTCAATCCTCTTTCCCTTCCAACTCACTCTTTGGCACCGCCATTCAAGCTTTTTCTTTTCTACATTCCTAGATTATGCTACTACTGACATGGTTACTCGGAAATGACACTCTTCTCGCTCCTACTCTTCTGAACCATTCTCCAATATTTCTGACCGAATCGTGCCATCCATGCAAACCATCTATAAATTATAAAACCCGAACAAACCAGCCTAAGAATCGTCTAGGGAATAGTATGTGTTCATACTTTGGACTGATAAAGGAGAGAGGTGAAGAAGAGGAAGACGATGATAAAAACATTAAAGAAGGTATTAGTGAGAGAGTGTATGGTAAATAGGAGAGAATGGACAATTTCAGGGATTAATTGAATTCTCTTATTAGGTATTTCAATATTTTCATTTTCATTTTCCAATCGTGACGTTCTCGACTTTCCAACATCCCCCTATTAATATGAAACTTACTCTTACCGACTGCCCCGGTTCTACCGCGGCCTCATCTTCACACTCAGTTTGAGGTATTAAAAGATTGATAGCGATAGCTGTACCAAATACCTCAGAAATATCTGTAGCGATAACCTATCATTGGCCAGCGAAATGAAAATGCAAAAAAAAAGGGTGAGGAAAAATCATACTGCATCCTATCCCGTCCCATTTTCAGCAGCTAGCCTGCCAGGGCATGTATAAAGGTGACGGCCTGAGCTATTAATGCCAGGATCATTACAACGATTGACTTCTGTATGTTGACATGGTTTCAAATGACCTTCTCCTCGCTTCAAATCCACCAATGCGTTGTTCTGTTTTTCTTCGCTCGGCAACTCCCTCGGGATCCCATATTACCCGTTCATTCGATAATCCCGATTCTGATTTTACCGGACGTCCGCTATGTAGGGACATAGACATAGCGTCGGATTGCGTCTCCAATACTACTGACTCACTTTTCGCTCCCAAAGACATAGCGCCGGATTGCTTCTGCAATACTACTGGCCTGGTTCTCGCTCCTAACTGAGATCGCCGTCGCTGTTGATCTACCCTTCGATAATATTCGCTAAGTTCCTGAAAGTCTAAACCAATCATGAACGCAAGCTCCTTTAATGCAGAAAGAGGGTGATTTCGAACTGCCTCTTCAATTGAAATATCCGATGATGACTCATCGGATGTTAAACCACGCTCGTAAAAGTAGTCCTCATCTCCCCAACACTCATAGTCTTGTATATCATAAAAATGGACAAGATAGAGTAGGTACTGTTCTATATGCACTATAAGTCGTTTGTCTGCAATATCTGATAACCAAATACGTACCATGTTGTGGGAATGGTAAGTCCCAAAAGTCCTTGACTGATCGTGGAAAATACATTGGAACTTGCAACCCGATACCAGGGTGATAGGTTGGAAGACTGGCAAGAACATGATTTGGCAGCTTCCTTGAGCCGTTGTGCCTCCGTGCGTCCAGTTGACTCCATCCGACATTGTTTTTTCAAATTTTCATTCGCACATCAAGAAATTCCTTTCGCATTTCCTCTCGCACATCTCGTATTCCTCTCGCACATCAAGAAATTCCTTTCGCATTTCCTCTCGCACATCTCCCAGTTCCTCTTGCAATCCATCCCGCACCGATTCAATAAGGCTCCGTTGAGCTACAAATTCGTTTTTAATATGCATGTCCTCCCTCCTTCGGCGTTCCACGTAATGTTCTACAGTAACAAATTTTGATTCTATTTGCGCCATGGCTGATGCTTTGTGTCCCAAATTTGTTATTGAGGAAGCTGGAGATGAAAGGTTGGTTTGTTCATCTTGGACCTTCCGTATTCTTTGGGTAAATTTCGAAGTAGGAGCGAAGAGGTAGGCGAGGGATGCTTTTAGGGGTAGTTATCGATGAGGTAGTTTATTAAAAAGAAGGGAGTCGATAATGAGATAGGTGCCGATAATTTGGGTGACAAGTAGGTGATACAATTGATTGGAATCGGAGGTAAGGTCCAAGGGAGTGGCCAATCTCAAGCCAGGAATGAATGAAGGTAGGTCTAATCCATTCAAATTTGTGGGGCATTGAGAATAGGTTTAGTGGTGAAAAATGGCGGCCTGGCTGTAGCGCCGTAATTATAATATTCTAATTTACCATTTCAAGCACCAATCAACATCAAGCGTTTGTGGTTTAATGGTAAAATCCATCGTTGCCATCATCTTCTCTTCACTAAAAGAGAACTTGAAACAACGTCGATGGGCTCCGGGTTCGATTCCCGGCGAACGCACTCCTTGATTATTATTTTGTGTCTTTGATTTGATATTCTTTTTTCCTTTCGAAGGGATTAATTGTGACTTTTTATGATTTTTGAGAACTTAACGTTTTGGTGATGGTGGGGGGAATGTGGGGTTGTGGAGTTGCTTTTTTGTATCTGGTCTGGATCTGTTGAATTGAAGACTAGTTAACTGGATGGATGTCAAGGGATAAAAGGTAGTTAAAGTTGTTTATGATATTTATTAAAAATTAAAATATTAGGGTTGAACTCAAGATTTACCAAGAATCAAATCCGGGGTTCATGCTGCAGTATTGATCTGATCAATACTCTTTGAATGGAGAGGAGTTGATGGCAACGCTAAACCTTCCTCTATCCTAAAGGATATCATGAAAAGTTAGAAGTGGCAGTGAGGAGAGAGGAAAAAAGATATGCAACTAACGATTAGAGATACACTACCCTTTATCTTATTCTTCTTTTGTATTATCACAAATCATACTCACAAGTTATACTATCTATCCCATACTAATAACACAATAAATAGACATTCAGCCCTAATCCGATGTTGATGGTATCTATTGAATGCCATGATGTCAAATGATATTACTATTTCAGGAATTAAACTAAACTAGCTAGCTGATCGTGCTCATTTCATCCAGTGATGAAGCTTCTCATTATGGTATCTTCATAACCTACCGCGTTGAAATATGCCCAAAGAACAGTTCGCCTCCATACTCCGTAACACTCATTATAAAGTACAATTATCTATACATATACCTCTTCCCCTCTTCAACTACATTGGCCCCGAACGCCATCCACATTCAAAAATCCAGATGCAAATCATATGGGCCCCTCACTTTTTTCCTTTTTCTGATGTACTTTTCGCCGAAGAATCCTTCTCCATCGCATTGCTAACCTTATCTAATTTCATCTTTTGATCATCGTCTAGAGCATGAAACCACTCCCTCAATTCTTTCATATGTTTCTTCTCCCCATGACCATATTCAACAGGAGGTCCCCTAACTTCAATTTCTGTACCTTCATCCTTGAATACTGCCCAACTACTTGCTTCCTCAGATTTTAATGCGAAGCCTTTACCTTCGACTGATAAAACGCTGAAGTCTCTCAATAGAACTCCGTCTCCAATTTCAGGTGTGGGAAGAGCATCTTTGTATGGACGGAAAATTCTTACTTCCACTACTCCAGAAGGAGCAATAGTTTGATCAGTAATGGTGAAAGTGCTAGTGTAGTGTCTTGGTCCCAACTTTGCTCTGCGAGGTTCTGGAGGTACACTCGTAGCGATGGCCAAAATGTCCAGTTTCGAAGTCATTTTAAAACGAAGCATTTTGAGAGTTGTGTATTCGCTTAGATCAGTGCGAAGGTATTTAGTTAAACGGAGTTTGGGATCGGTACATGCACGTGCTCTGAGGTGATGGCCGGCTTTTGTAGGTGATGCGGGTAATCCGAGTGATTCTAGTGCCATTTCAGCGCTTGCATCATGCCCTTCTGGTGTTTCCTCTTCGTCGATAATTATAGATGATGATCTCCTAGACCGATTGCTACCACGTGTAGATGGCATATCATTCTCTTTGTTGGATTTCGTTGGTGTTGTAAGAGTTAAAGCCTCTACAACCGGCTCCAACTTTTTGGATCGGGTTTGTCTAGGACTGAGAGTGGCTGATCCTTTCCTACTCCTTTTAAAGTCAGGTGAAGGTGAAAGATCCTTGCTGGATCGTGTTTGCCTAGGGCTAACCGGCGTAGATTCTTTTTCCGTACTTTCAATACCAGGTGATTTTCCTTTGCGGTTACGGTTTCTTAACGAGCCTGAAAAATTAGGGGGGGCTTCTTTGATTTGCTCCAGTAAAATGGCTTCGGTTTTCTCGACCACAGCTTCAGTCTCCTCGACGGTTTGCTCAATAGACTCTTCCGCGATATCAGCCATATCCATGTCTTGTCCCAAAATGCTATTACCAGCCATTTTCGCGAGAGTCTGCTGAGTTTCGAACTCTGTCATTTCGGCTTTTCTGATATCGGCTTCGATTTGTCCAATATCAGATTTCTCATTCCCAAGCTCTCCACTTTCACCCGCCGCTGGCTTCTCCTCAATATCCCCACCTTCATCCGCCTCTGGCGCCTCCTCCTCTTGCGCCTCCTCGTCTACCTCCTCCTCATCCTCGACAGGATTTTTGTCGGCCTGTTTTACTTCAGTTTCGATAGTTTCAGTCTTTTCAATCTCAGTGACCTCCGCGTTGGTGAATTCAACCTCAAAATCTTCGAGTTCAGGCTCAATCGCCTCGTCATCATCTCTATCCATAGCATCTGTCTCTGGAGCCACATCCTGATCCTCATCAATTGCTTCTTGAGCAGAAGATTGGTCTTCATCGTCAACAAAATCCGTTGACTGACCCTTTGCAATTCTTTCATCGGTATGTATCATTTCTGAATCTTCATTCATCTCTCCCATTTCTTCTTGTAATTGAGATTGAACTAAGTCTGACATTGAAGTAAAAGTGTCCTCATCAAGATTCACCATTTGAGTATCGTCAGGGGTTGGAAGTTGATCATTTCCATGGTTTGTTGTGATATCAATGCCATGAGTAGGGTTCTGGGACTGTGAAATTTGTTCTGGTTCATCAATCAACTCTTGTTGATCTTCTGGCTCAGTCACTGGCAATGAAGGATACGATATTTGACCGTTCTTATCCTCGTCACCATCCTCGCTAGCATCATTTGCGCCATCTATACCGAATGTTCTCGAGAACAATGTATCCTTCTTGGGAGAATTAGCCCATCCAGACTTAGCAGCTCGATCCTTAATGCTTTGTTCTGTGGAACTGGGTATTGTTGAAGCATTGGATACCTCCACAGCTATTGGTGATGGTGGCAATTTTTCGAGAGCAGCATTGATAAAATTTTCACTATTATCGTGCTGTATTGGGCCATGGGAAGTTTCAATTATTGTTGGTGGATCTTCTGTCGGTTCACTTGGCTCGATTTCTTGTAGGGAGGTCTCATCAGCATTTGCTTCATCCGGATTTTGGACATCTCCTTCATTCCCAAAATCTTCAACGTCGTACTCAAGGTCTACTGCAACATTTTGAGGTACGACACGGCGGGTATCCGAAGGCCCCTGCTCCAGCTGCGTCTCTGATTCGACTTCCTCTAGTTTCTTAAACAAGCCGTCAAGATTATCCGTAGCGGTGGCGGCAGAGGTATTGCCCAAGCTGGTTTCAACATCCATAGGCTCGGGAGAATCTAGGTCGATAGTAGCCTCTTCCTCGGAGCTTCCTTGGGATGGTGGAGATTGCTGTGCACCCCTTGACACACCCAGGCTCAGATTTACATATATTTGAGCGTCAAAGCCAGATTCAGATGCATTCGATATTATTTTGGGCATTTCTGTGCCAGTTTTAATACTGTCATTGCGCTCATTGACTAGAGTACTTTCGTTTTCCATTGATTCGTCCTCAACCGACCCGTCAGGGGATTCTCTCAAGAGTTCCTGAGAATTTGTGGTGGGGATGTCGTTGTTTTTGATTCCTTCACCAACAACATCTAGATTTTCGTCATCCTCATCTTCTTCCTCATCCTCGTATTCCTCTGTCTCTTGCCCTGATTCTATTTCCTCATCATCTTCGATATCGTCCCCGATTTGAGCAACAGGGCTTCCTGCCCCATCTTCATCATCGGAAGACAAAAGGACTATTACTTCCGGCTCTCGTGGAGGATGTTGTTGCGGCGGCGCTTCATTGTTCATTTCATCCTCACTGTAGTTGTCCTCATCATAGTCATTTTCACTGCCGTTTTCATCCTCTTCGAGATAGTCGCCTCTACCTCTTAATTCCATATTCTCGTCATATTCGTCAGAGTAACCCTCCCCATACTCATCTACTCTATTCTCATCGTCATACATATTGTCCTCTTCTTCTTCTCCTTCATCACCATCATCATCGGAACGTTCCTCTCCATGTTCCACTGGTAGATGGGAGCTAGGTATGTGCTGCTGGCTGTTATCTTCAACTTCAGGATATCCTTCAGCATCTTCGTCCTCGCTGCTCTCAGTCAAATCTACAGGTTGAGATTTAGGAGATTGATGGGATTGAAGGGATCGGTGAGATTGATTACTTTGAGATCGAACCATGGATGACATAGATGGGTGTTGAGGATATGGACTGTGGCTTGCAGATTGATGACTATCCTCGAGGTCTGGATAGGCCATACTGGACTGAGTTCCCCAATTATTTGATTGAGGGTGTGTCTCTTCTGGATCGGGATAGTTATACTGAGCCATATCTTCCTCCAATCCACCGTGAACATATCGGCCTTGGTCTCCTGGAATTTCAGCATAAACATGTGCTGAGGTATAAGGATCGGACCCGGAGATATTGTGATGTGGAAAAAATTGCTCTGCACCCTCTTCGGCCTCAAATTCACCATGATTGTGAGGAGTGAAAGTGGTTTCCATATTTGGAGAGCCATGTTCATCCCCAGAAAGAATTGCAGATGTTTGATAAGTAGTCTGGTCTGAGTTTGGTCGATTGCTTGTGTGACTTCCAGGCCTGGCACTATATAGATCTTCTTTGGCGTCAACTTGATTATCTTTTATCGGTGAATCAGCCTCTGCTGAGTATACAGCTGAGACATTCGGGCTGTCAAGATCCTCATTATGGTCATTGTGTATGTGGTTGTTGAACATTTCAAATCGGCCTGTTGACAATGGGGAGACTAAAGGTAGACCTTCTGATGGCAAAGGTCGTAGCTGCGGAGAATAAGGTGTATTCTCATCTATATTATCGGGCGGGGTTTGTTGTTGCTCGACTTCTGGAATAGCAAGATCAGATTGCTTTTTTGGGGGTGGCATTGTAGTTGTGATTGCCTCTTCGACCTGTGGTTCTTCCTGTACTGGGGCTTCTGCATCCACAGCCCGCACAACGCCATTTGCTTCAGCTTTATCGACGATTGTAGGTTGACTTTGTTCCAATGTTGGTGTCACTTCAGCTGCTACCCCAGTTTCA